ATGTCGAATATTTAGTTTTGAGATTATAAGATTATGTAAAGATCGTGTGGGAATTGATGTCAAGTTAAACACACATGTAAATATGAGTAAAATAGTTGTTCACAGTTTCTTTGTGTCATTTTGCTGCTCAGCAACTTAAATTTTCATAATATTTATTCTTTATTATTACTATAATCCAAATTTCTTGTATTGCATTTGTAGTTGTTGATTCAATTGTACAACGGTAAACGGGCTCAAGTGCAAACAAGACGCTTACTATTGAAATAATTACACATGTTCCATACCCCAATTAGAGTTTGTACACACAGCTGTTGAATTAAGTTCTTGGCGTCTTATTGGAATGACGTAGGGCTAAAAAGTGAATGCATATAAAAAAAAGAGAGCAGGAACTTGCGACTGGTCTCTAAAAATAAAACTTCAAAGTACATTGCAAGGCACGAAATGCGAGGCACGAAAGGATTTACGAGCTTGATCGAAAACAGCCCTTTGGCCCCAAAAAGCAAAACATGCAAACTAAAAAAAACAACAACAGGAACAACAACAATAATAATAATGACGATGAGTGGCACTTTGGAGCTGGCAAATGCCAGGAAACAGGCAACGTCGACTGCGACTCCAACTCGAACTAAAAGTTGAGAAAATTATAAAAAGCAACGACAAGAAGAAGACGCAGATACGTAGCGGCTAATAATAGAATATATGTATATGAGTGTAAAGCAAAGGCATTGAGTACAACAAAATAAAGAACTAATACAAAATAAGAAAAGTGAAGATGACAACAATAACAACAACGCCTTCTTTAAAACTTCTCGCTGTTCTCTCTCCACATATGTTATGATAAAGAGCTGTTAACTTTTGTAGCAGTTTTTGGTTATTTCGGCAAGTAGCAGCTGTTAACGTAGATATGGACTGTTAACTGCTTAATTGTGGCAGTCACAGTTATATCCACGAAGAAATAAACACGCTCTCCAAATTCATTATATATTGTTTCTTTCTTTCATTCTTTTGCTTCTGGCAAAGCAATCGTGTTTGTTAAAGGAATAATATATCTATATATATTAACATATTTGTAAGCGTGTGGGAAAGCTGTTAGGTAAACATATACACACACTCACGTACACAAACATAAACACACACACACACATCAGTCATTCCCACAACACACACGTCACCTGTTTGCAGAGTGTCCACAACATGGACACATGCTCCTAGTTGGATGGATGTGCGTGTGGCGTCCATTAGCCATGTGAAAAGTTCATTTGCCTCGTCGTCTCATAATTTGCCGCTTGCATGTTGGCAAACAGAGTCCGCCCGTCCAGGCAAAGAAGCTAAGGGAGTGAGGGGGACGCCAAGAGGTGGCGAGGCCATTGACGCCTCCCGCCTTTCAGACGTCCAGGCTACTCAGATTACACTTAAGAAAGTGTGTGTGAAATGGAGAGAGAGACAGACAGACAGATAGACAGAAAGAGAGAGAGAGACAGAGAGAGAGACGGACAAATACTTGACACTCTCTCAAGGAGTTCGCAACTCAACTCAACTCGACACGCCACACACAACATGGCTATTTTGAGACATTGCGACGCGTCGCCAAAGTCTGTGAATATATGGAAGAAGCTGAAAAGACCTCCATCCAATTCCACTTGCATTTCCCATTTCCATTCCCATTTCTGACTGTCTATTTTTTTTGCCTTACTGTTTGCAATTGACAGCTTCAGTGAAGCAGCAACAGTAACAAGCAGCAGACAGCAGCTTTCCCAGCGCTATCCAATCCTATGGGCCACCAAACATATCTAATTACTTCATGTAACGACTTGTAACTTTAGTCAAATTCCACTGTGCCCCATAGGCAACGCCTACAACAACTGCAAGGCAGACAGACGGCACAGTGGTTAGAAATAAGTAGTCTACACTTGGGTGGTGTTAACTCTTTAAGTAGATGACTGTTATTCTCATCTGTGTTTTATGTTAAGGAAAGATCTTTCCAGACCCATAACTCTGTTAAAACAGAACCGATATTCAAAGTTAAAAACGCTATTTTTTATTTGAATTCATTTACACCTTTAACCTTTTGACTGCTAAGTTAAACTATCACTTTGCTTCACTGTGCAGTATCGTCAATTGCAATTCATGTCAGTTATTTGCTTGTCGCCTGTCGCATTTGACTTGTGTGTGTAGTTGTGTGTTGATTGTGATTTTAGTTAGAGTTCGCGGCGGCTGCCATTTGGTCTGTGTGGTGGCTGTGTCTGGTCTGAGATTTGGATTCGACCTGGTCTGGGACCGCGACTGTTGTTTGTGTGACTTGCGATTGGTTTGGTGACTGGCTGACTGGTGACTGCGGTTGTAATCTGTACCCCAACCCAAGATTTACAATGTAATTTTGTAATTGAAATAACAACAATAACAACAAAAAAACAACAACAAAGAGAATTGCATCTTCTGAGTCTCCGCTGCTGCAATGCGAATTTCTGTTTCGATTGCAATTTACCTTGGAATAATTTCGTGTGGGAAATTTGCACGAAAATCACAACAAAAAAATGTAGTTTTAGTTGAATTATCTTTTTGTTGTTAGTTTATTTGTAGTTGAACTTTTCGTCCAATGGTATGCTTAGTATGCTGCTCACGTCAAAAATGCTTTTTTAATTTGCTTACCAGCCACAGCTGTGAAACAAGCTGATAAAACTACTTCAAACGTGATAAGCATTTTTTATATTTTTTCTGTTGACATTCGAGAATATCTTGGGTAATCGCAAACTTATCAAATATCGCAAGTATTCTCATATTTTTATTATTTATAATTTTTCTTTATGCTTGATAAACATTCGAATTGTTTCTCGGCAGCACAACAAAGCAAAATGAGCTGCATACTTGCTCAGGGCCGGCAGTAGTCTGTAATTCAATCCCAGTGACTCAATATTTATTGGGACCTTATCAGCATATAGACATAGCTCCTCATTAAAAATGATTTAATGCCTCAAATGAATAAGACTATAATTGTGGACAAATTGCAGTGCAACAACAACATCAAATACCACAAAGATTAAATGCAATCATTTTTAATGGAAGCAAAAGCAAAATAAAATTAAAAGTGCTAGACTTGGGAATGTTGGACTAGTCGATACCCTGTAGCCAGGTGTACGAGTAGCCAAGCTGAGAAATAAATAAACAAGACTTTTAGCCAGGTAAAGGGAGAAGGAGAGACAGAGTGAGAAAGAAAGGGAGATAGAAATTTTGATTATAGATAAGAGAAAAGAGAGTGTATAAAGCAAGCGATTGCTAATTTATTACATTAGTCATTCTTATTGATTATTAGAATTCCTGAGAAATCCAAAGAAGTCGGCATTAATCACAAATGCAATTTTTATTTGCTGCATTAAAAGACTCTTTAAGCTTTTCTTAAAGGGTGTAAAGTGGAATATGAAGTATGCTAAAGCAAGGAAGAAGAGTCTCTCTTTCCATCTCTCTCTCACACACATTCCAATTGGAAAGCTTAAATCTATTTTGCGCAGCTCTCGAGACATTTAATGAGTTATGAGTAGAAATGTGGAGAGAGGTCGAGGGGAGGGGGAAGGTGTAATGAGTAATGTGTAATTTGGCATTAGATGATGATGCTTAAGCGCTGATTAGCTGGCTATAAATCTAAATGAAAAACACCTCGCACCCACCACCCCCGTCAATAGTTCTCATTCGTTGCGGTAGGGCGATGATAGGAACATAAAAAACCTATTAACAAAAATGGACAAGGAAAAAGAAAAAAAGGAAAAGCTGTTATAGGAAATGTTGCAACTTGTCAAAAGGCAAACAAATAAATAATAGAAAATTGTGTATAGCAAAAAGCAGGCGAAAAAAAAGGATAGAATGAAAATGCGTGTAAGGAAAAACGCAGGAAATGCCTGTCCTGATGAGAGGGTGGGGTGGGGGATGGTGCTACAACAATTTCAACCACTGTTAAAAGAAGCTGAGGGTGCGGACGAGGGTGGGGGAGCGCAGCAGCAACAGCAGCAGCAGTTGAAACCGCCCTCTTAACAAAAATGAATTTAGCTGCACATTTACCGTTTTCATTTCATTTCTGCTCCTGCTGCCACTTCTTCGTCTTCTTTTGCTTCTGCGTCTATTGTAAACAAAAGCGAGACAACAACAACTACAACAAGAAGTAAAACTATATGCCGGCAACAACAGCAACAAGAAGAAGAGTAATGCGCATTCCGTTTCTATGTTAATCGGAAGCAATGAAAATCGAAAAATTGGCTCAATTGAACAGCGAGTGTGCAGGAACAGAGAGCGAGAGAGAGAGAGAGAGAGAGAAAACTGTCAAGCAAAAGTGCGTGCGTGTGTGTGTGTGAGTGTATACACACTGTAAATGCATTTGTATGTTGCGGGTGGCACACACACACACACATACATATATCACAGCTGCGGTCAACATAATAGTAGTGAATAGCAAATGTTAAAGAGAAAATACTTAAAATATAACTACAAAATTATGAAAATTTTATTTGAATACAAGCAATCAATGCTGAACAAATAAACATTAAAATATGATCCAAATAGTCGTAGCGCAATATAAGTGATTTTTCTTTCTTAGCTTTTTGTCGGGATAGTAATGTATCTAATAACTAGATATGTTGTCTGGATGTATTATACGACATTTAGAAATAACCGTCACACACCAATGTTTTGCCTATTTCTAGAGCAACTGACGAGCCAGACCAATTCAAAGTCTTCAAAGTGGAAATTGTACCTTGGCTTAACGTCTAGAAACAATCTTAATAACTTTACAACACAAATTCTCAATTGCATTGAAATTTGTTGTAAAAATCAATGTCATTTCATCATGTATCAGAGGTATATTGAACAATAAAATGATTGAAGGAATCGAAGGGACTATGTGAAAGGAGATATGAAAGTATTGAGTGCAATGAATGAAGCAGCGCTACTATTTTCTTGACCGCAACTGTATATGGAATAGATACATGTACAGAGTGCAGTTAGTTGATACTCACCATTGTGTTCGGTGAATATGTTGAGGCCAATGCTGGGCGGATTGCAGCGATTATCCTTGTGCGATGCATTCGATGAGTTGGCGCCGCGATGCGAGGAGTTGCCGCCGCTGGAGCCGATGCTGATGCCCGACGATGACTGATGCGGTTTCATGCGTGAATTGCGCAGAGTGGAACCAACAGCACTCAAAGCGTTGCCACCACCAATTGAGGAGCTGCTGATGCAGTGCGGCGAACCGGATGCAACGGGACTGCTGCTGCTGGAGACACCAATGCAACTAACGGTGCTGCCACCGCCTCCTCCTCCGCCGCCTCCACTCGAATGCGAGCCGCGCTCCTTGCCCTGCTGTGCACCCATAATATATCCACTTCCACTTCCAATCACATGCAACAACAATTCCAAATACACTGCAAATTTTTCTTTCGATTTTGCTTTACTTTTCTTTTTTGTTTTCAATTGCGATAAATTTGCATGCACTTTTTGTTATAATTTGTCGCATTCGCATTTGCGATTTGCAATTTGCTTTTATTTTAATTCGCTTCTCTACACATTTTCATTCGCCGTCTCGTTTCTTTCTTTTCGCGAGATACGCTCTTTTATTGCCCGTTCCGTTTCGTTCCGTGCTACTCCAATTGGTGCGAATTGAGAGTAGACAAAATTCAAGGATGTTGCGAAATTTGCCAATAAGATTTCGATTTCGATTTTTTAATACTTCTTTCGTTTTTTCTTTCTTTTACTATTAAATTGATTTGCTGTTTGGCTTTTTCATTTGTTGAGTGCCAATTGGTGAGTGAGGGTTGGGGGTGAAGTTGGAGCTGGAGGTGTAGGTGTAAGTGGAGGGGGGAGGGTCTGGCTGGCCACAAAAAAAAAACACGCCCTAAAATGCACTTTGTCTTTTGCGCTGCGTCTGCGTCGCGTTCGCTGCGTTTCTCACATATTTCGCATTTGAGACTTGACTTCAAGATACTGAAAGCTAGAGAGTTGTGGCTGTGAGTGCAGCTTTTTTAACTTATCTATTTCTTTGCATTTTTCCAATTACACACACACACACACACGCGCATACAAAGAGAAAAATGAACAGCCGCGCACAACCGACTCTATTAAAATTTTCAAGACGACTAGTGTGTGTGAGTGTGACTGCACACGACTCAAGCGAAAATAACTAAAGTGTCTGTTTGGGCGCAGCCAGCTTCATGCCACTCACAGTTGCGTGCAGCGAACTTCATGTGAGTGCACGCCGCAGCCAACTTCAAGTGAGCGAAGAATTGTCGCTCGCATTATTGAACTAGCTCCACACAGCAAACTAATACAATTCTTGTAGTCACACCGTTCAGATATTGATATAGATAGTTCTGGAATTCGTAGTTTTAATTACAAAATATAAAAATAGTCACATATATACTTACATTAAGTAAGCATAAGCACTAACAAAGCTACCAACGTAAGTAGATGACAGATGACAGACATGTAAATCTAACTCCCACTCGCATTGCTACACATGCCTTGCTTGTTGTTTCATACATTTTCGCCACATTACCAATGAAAGATGTCGGACTGGGATACGGTAACCATTTTAAGAAAGAAGGCCCCAAAGAATAGCCAACTGAAGACCGAATCAGCTGTTAATAATGCACGCCGTCAAGGTGTTGCCGTCGATACGCAGCAGAAATGTGAGTAAAAATCGAACATCGTAATTGTGCTGATGGAAAAGAGTGGGTTTGTATCGGGAGGTGTGGTGGTCAAAATGCAGTGTAATCAATTCCAATGTATTGCGTGGCGTTTGTTGTTGTTTTCTGCGGCTTAATCGTAGCGAGTAACTGTATGTGTATGCGTGCGTGTGTGTGTGTATTTTGCGTTTATTTCGCAACACTGCGAATTTCGAAAGCTTTCCGGCAGCCATTTTGCTCCAGCAGGCTGACCTAAAAAGGAAAACCACTGTAAATAGTGATTTTTGATTAATTTTATATTAAATTGAATATGGTAATATCTTGCAGATGGTGCTGGCACCAACAAGCAGCATGTGACCACTAAAAACACTGCCAAGCTGGATCGTGAGACTGAGGAGCTGCGCCACGACAAGATTCCCTTGGATGTGGGCAAAATAATTCAACAGGGTCGCCAGGGCAAAGGCATGAGCCAAAAGGAGCTGGCCACGGTAACAAAATCAAACACCATAAAAAAATGAATCAAACTATAAAATTGCTTTATATTTTTGTTTAGAAAATCTGCGAGAAGCAGCAAGTGGTAACTGACTATGAGGCCGGACGGGGCATACCCAACAATTTGATATTGGGCAAAATGGAGCGTGTGCTTGGCATAAAATTACGAGGCAAGGAGCGCGGCCTTCCACTGGCGCCTCCCGGTAAAAAGTGAGATGATGCTGCTGCGTCTGCTGCCAACACGCCCAGGAATGCCAGACACAACCACCACCAACACCAGCAGCAGCAGCCGCAGCACCAACAGCAGCAGCAGCAGCAACAGGAGTTTGGCTGGAGCACCGTGAGCAGCAGCAGACGCAAATAGACGCACCAACCGGGAGGCTGTGGAACCAAACAAAATCGGGTCGACTTAGCAGCTGAAACACACACTAACATAAAAAATACCAGTAACAACACAAATGAACCACAACCAATGCAAGCAGGCAACAAAAATGAAACAATGCACCAACTATGAGCGCAATTTATCAATAATCAAAAACAAAAACAATAATTCCAACTCCTTTTTGCACACAAAAATATTTATTTTGCTGATAAAAACCAAGCCAAACCATGTAATCAACACAAACTGATCTGGGACAATGTGAAACGCACCAACAAACTAAACTAAACTTAAACTAAACTATTTGATATTAAATTGAGACGTTGACGTGCTCAAATATGCAATTGAAAATGTGCTCATGGCTGGAACTAAATATTTTACTTCATTTTTCGGGCATTTTCCTATTTTGTTTTGTTATAAACCGCATTGAGTTGGTATTGTTTTTTTTATTGAAACTTGATCTAATTTATAAATATACAATTTATACATTAAAAACAACGGCATTGAATACACAAAACCCACACACGGAAACTTTCTTTCAATTATGATCCTTATACGCACCCCATCATTATCCTTACCCTCTCATGGCTCATCTAGTGGTTGTTCTCATTTATCAAATACAATTAACATTCATTCATAAAACTAATGAAAAAATTAATATTAATACATAATATATATATGTGTATGTGTACTATTTTAGAGCTTAGCCAGTCTTTTGTAATCTTATCATATATATATCCCTATATATATATGTTTACTGTAATAGGTTCTTGCAATGTGCGTTTAATTAGATACATATACACAAGAATACATTATACATATTATATATAAAAAAAAATATGCGAATGTAAGTATTTTAGCAACTTTTTCTAGTCTAGTATTACAAATTTTACGCGATATTTTTTCTATCGCATCCATTGGAGAATTAACTTCCTTGCGTATAATTTATGCAATCTAAACAATTCATTCATTAAAAAGAAAAACCAAAATCAAAATAATACACAACAGACAAAATATATCTATGTTTACATGAATGTGTAGTAAAACATTTTCCAAAAGCCAACAAGAAAAAATAAATGTTTTTTTCCCCCCCATCTATGATGTAAATGTAAATGACTTACAATTATTTATTTAATTATTTAAATCGAAGTAGGCAAGGCGAAAAAAAAACACAGTTTCCTTTTGCCAAATTTATATTTTAAGATCTACTCTTTATGTGCTTAATCTTGAATTATGAGCATAACTTCTTTTTATAAGATAAACTTACAGTGACTTAACATAAAATGTGAGTTTCACAGATACTTACAGTGAGTTAACATGTGCATGTTAAGGCTCTCAGGATATGCTGTTAACCGGAAATATAAGTAGAAACATCAATTTCTCGCATCAAAATTGATTGTTCGAAATGAAAAGACAAATTCAGCTCCTTTTCCTTTGTTACGTTTTATTTATCCGTTGGTTTTCTTAGCTTTTCATCATTTGTTTTTATTTAAATTTAGCCGACAAAAAATTCAATTTGTTCGCTTACTTTTCAATTTAGTTACATATCTGACTGCCACGAAGGATACGAATGCGCATCCATTTTTGTTTGCATCAGCTTTCTTTTTTCTCTCTCTCTTTGTCTGTTTTACACTTTCTGCGTCTCTCTCATTATTTTATTACTAAATTAACTTTTCAAGTAGGACTTCTTGCTTCATTTTGTTTGTGTTTCTTCTTGGTTGCTTATATATATAAATATATATATATATATATATATATATATATATATATCTTATATATATATATATATATATATATATATATATATATATATATATATATATTTATATATTTATATGTATATATAAATTAAACATTTTCTTTGTTTTTTTTGTTACGTTCGTTATCAAGGACTTAGGACTTGTTACCTATCTTCCCTGCTTGCTCTTGCTTTTCTGTGTATAGAAACTTTGATCTCGACTAAAGTATAAAAAAAAGGAAACTAAATGCACGCCCCTGCAAGATTACAAAATATTGGATATTGAATACAATTCTTTTTGATTTCTTCCTATTCGTTTTGGTTTTTTGACACTTTACAATAACAATTTGCGCTTTGTCTTGAACAAGTTTTGGGGAGAAAACTAACCTATGGTCGCATTTAGGTTTTTGTATTGACTTTAATTATATTTATATATATATATACTGAGACAATTCTGATCCAGTTAGATAAAAACCATAGCCAGAGTTTCAAAAAACCGAATGCTAATCGCAACACAATAGGTTACAGATATAAGTTTTTTTTTTATATATATAAATATATATTTAGTTATAGCGTAAGTATTTTGTGGATAACTGAGCGGCGGTCTAAACTCAATTTGAGAATGATTTTCTTTTATATTTGTTCTTTCTTAATTACAGTAAGTAAACAAATGAAAACTATGTTAGTGTATATATCTGAGGCTGTCAACACCCTGCTACAAACTTTGGGCTTAAACGAAACAGTAAACACACGGTTCGACGCTGATTATATATATATATATATATACATATATACATACATACATATATATATATATAGCTCCATTTTGGGGTAGCTGCATTCGAAAAACAAGCATACGAAAAGTTTGAATAATCCAATGCTAACTCTTTTTACAAAATACTTCTCGATTTGGATTTTATTATATACAATATGTATAAACATATATATAAATAATATATACATATATATAATATATATATATAAATACACAAGTATATATATATATGTATATATACATAAATATATATGTACAATATATATATATGCGCGTTTTGTGGGTATTTGTAAGCCAGCCGCCTGGTAAAACTCTACGCTTATAATTACATTTCTTTTATCAAACGCCCCTCGTGTGTGTGAGTGTGTGTGTGTGTGTAGTGTGTGTGCTCGCGCCCAGTTAAAATTAAAAAACAACTTTTACACCGGTACTGCATAAATAAATGTCCTTAGCCTTTAGGTAGAGGAGGGGCGCCCACATGCAGCAGAAGGAGGAAGCCGAGGGATCCTACTGCGCCTTGGCCTTGCGCAGATAGGCAGCCTGGGCCTCGTCTCCGACATATTTGGAATGGGACTCAGCGTTTGGCGGGCTAGAGAGCTTGGCGGTATTCTGGGCAGCCAGCGAGGCGGCCATGCGACGACTCTTGTGGCCGCCGGGCGACAGGTAAGCCTTGTAGAAGAAGCGCGCGAACAGCACAAAATAGCTGAAATACATCGCAATCGACAAATTGATGTTGCGCTGCGATATGTTGCACGACTGTGTGCCGTGCGTCTTCAGGAATCCATTTGCCCACACATTGATCGCACAACCAATGATCATCTGGGTCAGCTGCAGTGACGTGATGATCATCGAGATGAATCGTGGCGGATTGAAGCGGGCCGCTTTCAGTGCATAATAGCTGTACATCACCGAGTGCACACAGTAGTTCATCACAATGAACCAGCGCGCCGAACTGGTGTATTCGGTGTAGCTGAACCACGAGTAGATCAGCACAGTGATGTGATGATACCAGTGGAGAAAGATCAGCGGCTGTTTGCGCAACACTATGAATATCGTGTCGCCCAGTTCGGGCAATTTGCTCAGCACAAAGAGCCAGGTCCAGAAGCCGCACACTCGATCTTGTTCAATGTAACTGCAATCGCGAAGAAGAAATCAGGTTTTAATTAAACCTTGCTGGCTGTCAATGAACTGGCAAAATTTCAATGCCATAACAACAAAAACTCAACCAACTCACCTGGGTACACAGACGGAGTGGAAAAGTCCGTAGTGACGCAGCACGTGCAGCAGTTCCGGCGCCGTGCGAGCAGCACCCATTATGCTGAACATGGCCAGCAAAGTGTTCCAAATGATTAGCGGACCACGCAACTTGAAACTGAAACATTTGAAAAACACAAAAAGTTTAGATTAATTTCAAGTAGTTGCAATTATTAAACTAAAGAAAGGTTTACTGAAAAGGTGAAAAGGTGTTTTGTGCAGTGGGAATTCAAATTTGGTCTCGAGATATGTAGGAAATCGGAGCAGATGACATTTATATTCCTCAGTTATATGCTTCTGTTTTAATAGATATCTTAAACCAAAACAACAAAATGATCTATTATGATGTAGAACACCAAAATCATCATTTACTACAGCTATTAAGTAACTAAACATCACATTCTAACGAAATCACTTCCCATAGTGTATTTAAAGTTTTTCGTGTTTTCTGTTTCTTTTATTCATGCTATAAATCAGCTCAAGTACAAATTTCAGATAATGTTCTAGACGCATTTGCAGTTTCGACAACCAGATTCTCAGCTCAGTTTGTTGTTTTTAGCTGTGGCTTTGACCGATGATCAGATGCAAATTTGCATTATATATGCATTGAAAAGATCAACAAACTTTGAGGCTACTTTTCAGTTTAGTTAAGGGCGGTGCGGTCAGCTGACGTTAAATCCTAAGTGCATTAGGCACACATGCAGCAATAAATCAAACATTTACTCCGAAATTGCATTGAGAATCGATTGAGTGTTGTTTATCATTAACACTGTTGACTCTTAGCTAACATAGTTCAAAATTAATTTACTCAATTTAAGTGTTACACTTCCTTGGCACTTAATTTGTACAGAATATTCGATTAGAATATTCCAATTAGCAGGACAAGCTGAGTGTATAAATGCTAAGCTACATCATATATTTAAATAGGTAAGTTATTTTTTCGGTATTACAATTTTTATTTATAAAGCCTTTGAATTCTATTGATTTTGTATTTAAATCCCTAGATGTAATATAGATACAGCTAATTTTAGGTCAACTACGTCAAGCTACCACAAATTCCCTTGCATAATAAGCACATTATCATCATTTTTTTTTTAGAACATTTAATTTTGTTTCTTAAACCGTAAAACTTGAACAATTCAAAGCTTGACTTGCATTCGAAATGAGCGTAGAGTACTTAAAACACAATTATTTTTATGGAATAATGTGTTTTTTTTCATTCCAGAAAATGAATATGATTCAGACCCCGGGTCTCTAGGGTCTGCGTCGTACAACAGAACATTAGTGAGTCAAATTAAGACTTTTGGGAACAACACTCAACACTCAGTTGTTAATCTAAAATGAATCGTCCGTCTGACTATTAATCGGGCAGTTGCAATTAAAAGGTAGATTAAATACATACATATGACAATATATATATGTATATATTCTTTCAACAATAGCTTTGTAATTGGCCGAGGACCTTATCTCGCCACGATTAGTCATATAAAAGAAATCAGTCAATAATTTTTGTCTCGCAGATAAAGTGGGGAATTATGAAGCGTTTTTTTATTATCGGCAACCGATGACGAATGATGTCCACGGAATGTGGCGTGTTTGGAATTTGTACACCGATTTTCACATAACAATTTAGCAATGTTTAACTTGGTGTGTCGCGAATTGGCAGAGCCAATTAACGCACTTACATTTTGTGTTACTAAATTTATGCATTATTAGACAAATATTGAAAAAGATATTTCCGGAACGGATCTATTGCTTTTCACGACTGCACTTTCTGTTTTATCGATAGAGCTAACGACCACTTGAGATAATCACCATATAATTTATTCCAAAATAAAAAAAAACATCTTCGAGTAGTTGCTGCTGTTATTTTGACGATTAGTAGAACTATTAAAAATGGCTGGGCAATAACAAGTTCAGCCAATGTCTACATTAAATATATATATATATATATATATATATATATATATATATATATATATATATATAGTTATATATATCACGGCGCTAAATTGTCACAGATAAGATACAGCGCCAGACACGAGTGGACAATTAAGCTGCGTATGCTGCTTTTACTGCTTTTTTTTCCTGCTTTTTTGCTCAAGTGGAAACGTTTAATTTGGAAGCTACATGCCACATTAAATCGGACTTAATCTACATTCTGGAACAGAAAAAATATATATGCTTTTATTAAACCAAATTAAGGCAAGGCGCAGCGCGTTCCATAAAAACAAATCGTTGCGCATATCATTCGCGTTGCTGTGAAATTTGTAATGCTGTGCAACAGCCCTTGGAATTCGCAAGTGGTTCAGGCAGCGCACACATGGCATGCAGCGAGTCAGCGCTGTGGTATTTGTGCCAAAACACAATGAGTAAGGAAAACCAATAGGCCTTGCTAATCGCTTGGCAGCTTGGCTTCTCGGCATAGGGACATCATTGTTCCCTTGAAGCTCAATTTTTGCTAGGGCACAGGTCGTCCCCGTTGCGATGAACAGGCGGCGGATCCGGCACCTACTTTGTGTCCGGTCTGCTGCCTGTCTCATTTTGGGTGTAGCGATCTGCCCGTTAATTGATGGATTGCATAATGCGGAGGGAAAAGATGACATTACTTTCTTTTCAAGAGCCTAAAATTTCACAATGTCAGTTTTCGCTTTAGAGCAGCAAAAAAAAAGTAAATAAATATGCGAAAATTGCATAAGCAATAACAGCACTCGAATTGCGAGAGACAAAGAAAGAGGGAGAGAGTTAAAGCTCTCTCTCTCTCTCTCCTTGAGCAGAGAGTTGGCAAATGTAAACCTGATTTGGCAATGCTGGATTTTTTTGAAAGAGATTATGCAAGTTCAGCTGATGGTAAACAATTGGAGAGGAGAAGCGAAGCAGAGAAGAGTAGAGAAAGAAAGAGAGCGAGAAGCAACAATATATAAATGAAATCAAATGCTTGGGCCCAGAGACTTGATTACTGTTTGCTATCTGTCTTTGCTTTTTGGGCTTGATTTATGCAGCCCCAAAACACAGTTATAAATATTTATACATCTGTGTTTGTATTTGTATTTGTTTTGTATTTGCCTGTATTTTGTTTGCAGCAGTTAGTTTGTTTTGTTTGCCTTTGGGTCACAAAAATTCGCAACATTATCTCAAAGCTGATTCGTTTCATTTTTCGCATTTAATTTGACCAACATTTTGCTGTTGTTGTTGTTATTATTATTTTTGATTGCAACAACATTTTTGTGGTTTCCCAGTTTTATTTACTGTCGTCGTTATTCATAAATGTTATGCCCGTTTTTTTATTTTTACCAAAATTGCATATGCGACCTATTGACCAGCTTTTTGTCTTTTGAGTTGCGAAATGGTTTGTCATAATTAAAATTAAATGGCAGCTTCATTATATCTTAAGTGGTTCAAACTTAACTATTCAGCAAACAGGTAAACCTTTAATTAGATGTCAATTAAAATAGTGTCTAGCAAAGCAGCAGATTGTGAGCCAGACAAACCTTATCTTCTACTTAACTATCAACAAGTTCTTATATGTAACTAGAACTAAACTAAGAAAAAGTGTTACTTTGTTGAATATGTTATGCTCTCTCTCTCTTTGATACAAAGAGAGTTTAGATTTGAATAATTAGTCCAATTGTGTCGAAATTTAAAGGTCAGCAGCAAAGCGCTAAATTGGCGAAAAACGTTAATGCGAGCAGGTGTTTGGTTGGAAGAAGCAGTGACAAATGGTAAACATACTGAAAATGATGTCAACAAAAGTAAAAGTGTAAATGTTGCATGACATGCGATCGTTGCAGATGCTGCAAATAAACACAGACAGACAGACAGAGCGAGAGCGAGCGAGAGAGAGAGAGAGAGAGACTGAGACTGAGCACAGTTTTTGCTGCAGATGCTGGTAAACAGAATTGAATTCCTGCTTTGATTGTCAATATTTGACTGACACACTTAAGCCACATATGAGTGATTCATCTCTCTCAATCTATCCCCATCTCCTTCTCTCTGAAATCTGTTGGAATTGTCAATGGTAACGGTTGTTTTTTTGTGTTAACAGCCCATGAAAAAAAAATAAAAATAAAATTCAAAGTCAAGTGAAGTAAAGTTTCACTTTTCAAAACATTTTGACGCCTATAAAATTAGTGTCTACATTTTGCTTTTTTTTCTTATTTTATTGCTGCACACATTAAAAAACGAATCTTGAACCGTTATTATTGCTGCTGCTGTCATGTCTTGTAATTGCTGCCGAGTGTTTAATGGTAATTATTTAGCTGACACGCCCACTCAACACGTCATTTCAATTATATGTATTTATCATACACATATATATATATAATTTGTACACTTAGATGAGCTTGGCTAAGCATTAAATTTTTACCTTATGTATATAGTATATACAGCAATCATTTGCAACAATTTTCAAACAATTTCAGGTCATCATTTCGCTGGGTTGCGTGCGTCGCAAACATAAAGAGACATTTTTCATTGTTGGGTCGAGGACTCAGTTTTAAGGTGGGTGGCGTGTTTTTTTCCTCCTCATTTTGTACGTTGCAGTCATTTTTAACCTACTCCTTTGACATTTTCGAACAAAGCCGTCAAGCAGCTGCTACATAAATAAAACAACTTTTGAACCGTGTTTTGTTTTTATTTTTTTCCCCCCTTACTCACAATCACTTAGCGCAGGTTGAGGGCACAAAAGGAACGGGTTCCTAAAATGCTAATAGCCTGACTTTTACATATGAATCGGCGACTCGTATGGCCTGAATTTTTACCAAGGTCAATGAATTTTTGCAAGCTTCAGTTTTTTCCAATGCTTATGGATCGAACTTAATTATTAAATATTGTCTAATATGAATTTAAAGCAGAATCAACGAAGTGTTAAAGGAATTTTACTGAAGAATTTACAAAATTAACTGGCTGCTACTAAAGTGAAAGGTTCTGCTTTCTACTTAAGGTTCGACGGTGTTACCAGCACAAAATGTTTTACAATAACAGCCAACTAGTCGGTTAATTGAGAGTGTCAAGAGTATATCAGTTTCTCTTAAGTAAATAGCCCACGCTTTGATGAGAAATGACTACTGGTAATTAAGCTCTTTGTTAGCCGAACAGAATTTACATAGTTCATGTTTACTGGTTCCACGCGGCTTTAAAGTTGCCATCACTCATATATACGAGTATATATATATACATATATATCTATATATATGCCAAGTTTTACTGGCCCCATATATGTAGAACTTACATATATGCATATCTTTGCCTGTGCACGTGTGTGTGTATTTTTGTGTATGACGCCTGTTCGCCTACACACTGAATGAGAAAGCTTTGTATGTAATATGCTTCTATATTCTGGAGACCCACCTCCTCACAACACCCCGCACTCTGAGAGAGAGAGAGAGAGAAGCACGCGCAACACGCGCCGAGGCCAAAGCACACACAACTACAAAATATTTGCACACATCTCTCATGAGTGTGTGCGTGCGTGTGTGTGAGTGTGCGTGCGTGTGTGTGAGTGTGCGTGCGTGTGTGTGCTTGGGGATTTTTATTTTGTAATGGCAATTACAATGTGTGCAAAACTATTTTCCTTATGACTGCTCGCTACTGATGCGTCTCACACAATGCTAACTAGCATTTTATGTTGGCCAGTGTAAAAATGTCATGTAATTGAATGTCCTGCGGAGCGGCTCCTCCCTACCCTCTCTCCTATCTCCGCTGTTTGCCTACCTATTCTGCTGCCAGGGAGGACACACCCACTTCTGGCATGTTGTTGTGTCCACAATTGTGCTTTATTGAGTGCATTTGTTGGTTGAACATGCACAGACATGTGTGTGTTGCACACCACACACTGTTGCAACATTTGTTATTACGTATTTAACGTATGACTTGGCTAGAAAATGACAATTTTGTTTTGAATATTTCAATAAAAGATTTTATAAACCATTAATGATTAATACGAAATAAATTGCAGACCAATTATAAAGAATAATAAAGGACAAAGTAAGCTTTAAATGTGCTTAAAATTCGTGAATACTTTCTAGTATTTATTTTAAATAAAGTTAATTTTGTAAACTCTTCAGTAAAATTCTTTTAACATTTCGTTGATTCTGCTTTAAATTCAAATTAGACAATATTTAATAATTAAGTTTACTTCTCGAGAGACTACTGTAGATTTGGGTTTTGTTTGTGCTGTTTGCTTATTTGCTTTTGAACTTTTGATCGAATTACTATAAAGTTTGCGGCCGTCATAATGAATCATAGTTAATGATATCATTCACAATTACGACAGCTTGCCGGTGTTTCATTTTTTCTGTTCTATTTTCTATCTTTTTTTTTGTGTTGGTCTGCCTCAGTTATATGTATATATATGGACAGTTGTATATATAAACGACGAGTATTATGTTCAATTCTGCCGACCGATAAGAGTGCGTTCCACATGTTGACGACAACTAGTGGGGCACAAGAGAGCACATGGCCTGGCTGATAACGAGCATGCGAAGATCGTTCATATTATACTTGGCGTGCTTATAGAAATCACGCCCAACATGGAAAAAGACACACACACAGCACACAGCATAGGCACACAGCATAGGCACCGACTCAAGGGCATTGGGGTGGCGAAAAGTTTGCAATTTAGCAAAACCTAAAGGTTCAACTGAAATGTGCGAATCACAAATCACTATTAACCTTAAGATGATCTCAGACTTGGTCTTGAAAACGCATGCGTTGATCAAATATACTCTGGCACCGTAGCATGAAGGGTGTATTGGTTTTGTGCAACTTTTTATTGAAACTTGGAATCAGAGTCAGATAAGGTGTTGAAATCGATAAGCATAAATCGATAAAACAATATATCTACACAAATTTTAAGATTAGTGATTCAATTTTAAGTATAGATTACTGATAACATATGTTGCCTAACGATAAATACCAGATTTTCCCCAATTTCGGGTCTAAAGTTATATTTTGAGAGATATTCGATTTTTTAGAGCAGGCGTTACTACATGTTTGAGTGAGATTCTAAGAATTCCCGCCGAAAATTGGTAAAAATCATTCGCAGCTTTTTTCCCACAAAAGTCCATATTTCGTAACAGCAACCACATTTTATAGATGCATTCATTAATTTTTACCACACCCACCCTTCGTCAACTGGTAACAGCGGAATCGGTTACAGTCCACTGGAATGTTCTAGCTTGTTTTATTTTAGTAGTGGGCCTTTTCTGACGCAAATCAGTGTCGCCTGGACTCTGTCCCATAGTTTTCCAGTTAACTCCGTTTCCTCTGTACATCTTTAGCTCTCCCTTAAAGTCACACCTTTCTGTAAGTGCAAGTCTAATGTAGACAGACTTGTGTTGCATGTGTGTAAATATTGAGACGGCATTTAATGTGTAAACAAACAACAACAAAAACAGTTTAATATTACTATTTGCTTTTGGGTTTTGTTTTTATTTTTCTTTGTTGGAAAAGCCGAGGGCCAAGCCCCTGCTTATACTAAAGTGATAGACAATCTTTGGATTGGCTTTGTCAATCCCAGGAGGGTAGATTGTCATCAGTCACAGTCTCAGTTATACGTGTGGGCCCCGATTCGGCTACTCGCATGAATATGGCGATTATATAATACATTTGATTACTTTGTCAACATTTGTGAATCGATGAATGAGAATGAGCAGCGAGTTCAAAAACAAAATCGTTATTTTCGTCGTCGTCGACGTTGTCGCCTTGGCAAGTGTTATAGAGAATCATTGACAACGATTGCGATAAGAAACTCAAGTTTAATGAACAATATTAAAATTGCAGTTGGGTTGTGACACCGACATGCAGAACAATTTTAAATAGATTACATTTCCATAGGTATTCAAACGGAGATAGAAAGAAATTATCTATACAAATAAATAATAGCTGTGAGTGCTGTGGCTCTGAACAGACTGATAATCAAATTTATTCCAATCAATGGAAAACACACATTTATTGCACAAACTATTATTAAAAAGTCTATAAAGTATTTAACATATTTAACAGCTGATTACAGGCAATCTCATAGTCGATCTCTCTCGGCTAGAGCACGCTGTGCTTCTTAAATCACAGCAAACAAAATGAATTGATATATATGTAACTAGTTTTAGAAAGGAAACTGTATGGAAAACTCATAAAAATATCTTAGAAGTGCCAGTAAAACTGGAAGACATTGAAAACTATTCTTATCGAATATTTGAATCTCTTTTTTAGTATATTCTTCTTCACATGAATTCAATATGCTGTCAAGCTTTTCTGCAGCTATTTGGAGTCATGAGGCCTCTCATCGGGGAACTGTTCCCTTAACGTATTTCTTCATTATGTTTTAAGTTAAGTCTTAAAGATCTCGAAGTAGACTACGATAGTATTCAATAGACTTTTAGACTAAATTGTATTTGAAATATTTTTAACAATACTATATTTTGTGATATAAATCAATTGCAATATATTTTCAGCCTACATCTGCAGTCATAAAGATATAGCGTGAGCCGACTATATAGATATATTTTTGGATATATGTCACATGTCACGTGCCAAATGTAGATTGCTAAAATACAGCGCTATTTCACAAGTAGGTAGGTTGAATAACAACATAATCAACGTCACATGCGCAATCACAACAAATTTGGCACAATTTGGCATGCAATTTTTGTTTTTGGATTGTTTGTCATCAAAAAAACAAAAAAAAAAAGAAGAGTGCAATGATTGCCCTTGGTTGCATCCGTGACTCGGACGGACTCTGGTCTAGTAAAATTACAGGTTGAGTGTGATTGTGGCTGATTGGCCATAATTTTCCAGCATTAAGGGACGGGGCAGATGGAAATTGTAATGAGCGAGGGAGTAACGGCACCTGGCGATTAACTACCAACACTTTCACGAGCTAATAGCCTCCACAAACTAATTAAAACAATGTATATATATTGTGTGCAACAACAGCTGCATGGGATTCCATTGAAAATATATATTAATACGTGTTGGTTTTTGTAATTGCATGGAAATTTTGTTGATGTTTTGTTTATTTGATATTTCTGCAAATCTGAGTGGATGGATATATAATTCCAGCAAAACTTGTTTATTAATTGAACCTAAACAATCAGAAAGCTTCTGCATTGTTACTGCTCTTATATATATTGCTTGCTCAGAAGCGAAGGCGTTCAGATTACACGCCTCAATAAGAGAGAAAATATTGTATTATTATGGCAGAAAGAAAACAAGCTTTTATTATAAAAAAAAACTTAATTTCCTATTAGAAACTTGCTGGCAGATTAATTGTCATCAATAATGAAATTAATCCGCACGAAGTTTTGCCTACAAAACAGAGAGACTGCTGTAAATATGGAAATATTCTCAACAAGACTCGAACTCTAGACCTCTGACTCAGTATAATTGTCAAGAATGCCTCTGATTGACACTGATACTGACATACGAACATACAATCATTTATTCAGTTAGTTACAAGCGACTAGGTATTAAATGTTGATAAAAAAGTTTAGAAAACTAAGTTTTAGTTGGTTTAACTTCCTGTTTGAGCTCAGACAGCGTAAAAACCTGTTGAAAGAACTAACTATGTAATCATATCAACTTTTAAAAGTTCTGCTCTAGTTAAATGTTAGCTAAATCGATTTTTAAACATATTGATTTGTGCTATTATTATTTTTTGTTGTAGCTATTGTCAAACATGGCATGTATTAAATTATTAACAAGCAATTATTTGAATTGGATTTTTACATTATTCACAATAGGTGGACACGCCCCCTGCTAAGAAAATATGGCTCCAATCTGCACACGCGCCAAAATGTTTGGCAAGAGCAAAACATGAAAGAAGCATTCAGGCGAGGCACAGGGAGACGAGAGAGAAGGTAGGGTCAAGGTCTGCAGAGTAGTCTCGACTGTTATGCTCTCGAGCAGACAGACAAATAGACAGACATTTGGCCAATGTCAGTTGCAGTTGAAAATCAAGCAAAAATAAAAGCGTATTTTTTATATGGAATATGAAAAGTGTGCAAGCGAATTATGCAATGCAGGCAAATTTCAAGTTGATTAAAGTAAACAAATGATTCTATATACATAAATATATATTAAATGATATATATAGATATATATATATATTTGTATTTATCTGAACTTACCTCGCTCGATTTTGCATAAAGTGCTGACCACCAAATATGACCGCCATATAAATGCCGCAATAGTAGAACACCCAGGTCCAATTCGCCAGCATCCATTTGCGTGTGCGCTGATGTATGAAATCATTCTCGAAATCAAAGATATACGAATAGTTGGGCGTCACGCTAATGTCCATGTTGATCATTGTGCAGCTGTCTCCACTTCTGTTTCGCTCAGTGTGCGTGTGCGTTGGGGTCTGAGTGAAGATTTATGGAGTTTCTATACAAATGGATAAAATGTCAAGTATTTCATTAGTATTTGCTTTGAGTGTAGAGCCAATTTTAATTCTTATCGTCTACGAAAGTGGAACTTGTAGAAATTCGATTGATATTAATCGCAGTTTATTCATTTTAAATGATTTTAAAATGCATTAAGTTTGTTTTCGTGAATTTACTATTTTGATTAACTGTAAACTTATAAGTCTCTCTTTAGCCAGAACGCGCCTCTTCTTAGATTTCGAGAGAAGAGTGTGACCTTCCCAATTGCATAGCTGCCCACAGATGCACCCACATTGACTTTGCATAAACCCAGAAGAAGCAGAGAGAGAGAGAGCGAGAGCGAGAGAGTGACAGAGTTGCAATTGAGAGAGAGCAAGCTTATGTTAGCTCTTAACAGCCACCCACCAATACAGGCGCACAAGAATGCATCTCATTCATGAATGGCGGCGTTTTCTTCCGCTTTTCACACCTTTGCCTATTTCACAGCTTCATGCATACAAGTGACAAAGTGGAGGAGTATATTTATATTTATATGCATTTGCTGCACTTATTTGAATGCCTAATTGCATGCCAGACACGCGACACACACACACACACACGTGTAGTATTTGCTTTGAATCTAGAGCCACTTGTAGAAGTTCGATTTGATATTCTTTGAAATATTAATTTTAAATGATTTAAAAATGCATTAAGTTCGGTTTCGTCATTTTTAAACACTATATTTTTGTCGTATTTACTATTTTGATTAACTGTAAACTTATCAGTCTCTCTTCAGATAGAAAGCGCGCCTTTTCTTATATTTCGAGAGAGAGCGATGGAGCGAGTGTGACCTTCCCAATTGCATAGCCGCCCACAGACGCAGCCACATTGATTTTGCATAAGCCCATCATAGAAGAAGCAGAGAGAGAGACCGAGAGAGTGACAGAGCTGCAATTGAGAGAGAGCAAGCTTATGTTAGCTCTTAACAGCCACCCACCAATACACGCGCACAAAAATGCAACTCATTCATGAATGGCGGCGTTTTCTTCCGCTTTTCATACTTTTGCCTATTTCACAGCTTCATGCATACAAGTAACAAACTGGATGAGTAGAAGGAGAAAGAAAGAGGAAGAGTTAAGGCGCGCGCCAATCAGACGGCTGGCGGCTACTTTATGTCATCCATTCAGTCCCACAGAAATATAACAAGTGTAGCAAAGCGGAATGCGAAAAATAAAAACCATTACAAGAAACAAAAAAGCACCGGCGGGTGGTCGTTGGCAATATAGAAAATACATATGTGCATATATATTTATATTTATATGCATCTGCTGTACTTATTTGAATGTCTAATTGCATGCCAGACACGCGACACTCACACACGCACGCACACACATGCTGACACGAGCGCACACGCACAATCAAATAATTTGATTTCATTTCAAGCTCGGCTTTTGAGTATAATATCCGGTTTTTTTTTTATTTTTGCTTTTAAAAATTTCTAGAGAAATTGTTCGCTGCTGCTGCTGAAAAGTTTTCATATACATACATATAAATATATACATGACGATGTTTGCATGTATTTGTTTTATGTTGTCGACTGCGCTACCCTGGCAAAAAAAAGGTAGAAACAAAAAAAACACGCGTTTTGCCTCTCACACATTCATCTTCTCGCCCATCTCTCATCTCCCTCATCTATGCCTGTCTCCCTCCACTCCTTTTATGCTGAGCGCGCCGACGTAATCGATAAAGTACATGAAATACGATAAAACTACATGTGGCAAAAAATACAAAAAAAAACTGGCAAATTTCCTGGTCGCCGTCAGACAGTTGATGAGAACTCACCGAGACACGACACACTCTAATTTATTCAGCAAATAGCGCACAACGGTTATTGTTTAATGCATTTACTTATTGTTGCTGAGTTTTTAACGCACGCGCTACGTTTTTCTTTTTTTGTGTTTCGTTTGATTTATCCGCAAATGGGAACTCTCTCTTTGAGCAGCCGGCGAACCACTGAGCGACACAGACTCGCTGCCCGTGTATTTTGGCTTTTTATTTAAACAAATTATGCGAACGAGTATCAATGCAACGATGAGCAGCTGCCGACTCGTTTGGTGGTTATTTTGCTTCTGTTAACCTTAACATTTTGTTTTTATTTTAGCATTTCTTTGGTTTTGCAAATGTTAATGGTAAACGATAGTTGTTATCGATGTTCGTCCGATAACACAACTGACAGAGTGTGACCAGCCTGAGTGTGATCTGCTGATGCAGCCCTGCATTAAACAACAAGTCGTTAGTTTGAAAAATAACTATATGTGTTGCAAAACACAAATACAGTGTCGCGTGCCAGTCGTTACAATTTCAAGCTTAGTAAAATATAATTATGTCGAGTTTTAATTTAAATATAATTTATTACAGAAATTACAAACAGTACATATAGCAAGCACAATGCAATAATTTGTTGTATAAACCTAGCTACTTAATTGATTAATATTACACCACATTGAATATGCTTATATAAATATATATATATATATATGTATATCAAATACGCCTATATATTCCACTACTAGCTAAGGGGTCTTATACTAAAATAAACACTGTCAGCTGCTCAAACATTTTACATTCACCAGGCACCTACCGCAATGCCCCCCAAAAATCCGTCAGCATTAACAGTTTAAATCAAAGCACTCTGATTCCAAATTCGCATTTGTGGCAACAATTGCAGCTGCCACAGAAATTTGCACAATCAAATAGAAAATAAAAAAATAACGAAAAATAATTGCAATTTTTGTTTTGTGTGTTTGTTCTATATTTTCGTTCATTTTGCATATTTATGCATTTGTTGTTTTTGAAATTGGTGACATAAAAAATGTTTTGAGCGGGTTTGTTTTATATTTATTTGTGCCTGGATAAATGACTCTCCCCTCCCTGTTGCATAAGCCCCCCTCGGCCAACACTCTACTTAGCTTTCATTATGAGTTTTCATAAAAAATGTTACAGCACTTTTTTTGCATTGCGTAGTGTTAACCGTTACTCGTACACAGCTCGCACATCCAATTAAGCAAATTAAACAGATTGTTATCCCGCCCAGACAGACAGACTGACAGAGGCGGTCCCTTCGTCCCTTCCTCCTGTCCAGCTTAATTCAATCAACGTGACATAATTACTTAATTAGTTACACATACACCTATACATATATATGTGTGTGTTTGCTTGGATTTGTGTAGCTGTGGCCTTTTGCCCATCTGGTCACACATTCAAATCGGCCATCATTTTGCGAAAGTCATTCAATGATCCATACATCTCAAAGTCACCAGCCCCGCCAGCTCCGCCCCCTCCGCCCCCGTTTCCATACTGCTGCTGTGCCTGTGCTCGCATGTGAGCGGGCCGTGGGAGAGTTAACGGTACGGGTAGCAACTCTGGCATAACGGAATGATGCGTTATCAGTGCTCGCAGCGAACTGAACTCCTTTGTGAAGCCCTGTTGAAAATTAAAGAGAAGAAGAAGATGAGTTCTGTTAAGTTTTATGCTTTTACAACACTCAAATGAAAATAGAATTGCAATTTAACTTAAAAGTAGATAAAGATTTCTATTTGGTAAATATTTTCTATAATTTTTAAGCGCTTTCTCATTTTGAAGCTATTTTCTCAGCAAAGTACACTTCGGTGTAGAGAGATTTTGAATAAACTTTCCGTATTTAGATTAGAAATGAATATCATATTTGCAACGAATAAGTTGCTTAAAATATTTACTATTTTTAACTAATTTCCTCCAATCTTACCTTAATCTTGTATCCCCTCGGGGTGCGCAGGATCAAGTAGTGGGCGACTCGTGGCGAGGGGGGCGGCACACGCAAGGATAATGCAAAGCAGCCCGGTTTGGTGCTGCTCTGACGCACCAGGAACGCGCCCGGACTCTGGCGTGAGAGCACCTCCAGTGAGATCTCACGTGGTATGCCCGCCTGATACCACGCGGCGCCCTTCAGCTCCTGCTGCTCCGCTAAACTGAGATTGTCCAATCGCAGTGATGAATTCGCCGCAAACAGCTTCGGACTGGAGTTGGCTTTAGTTCGACAATATTTCATATTATTGACAAATGTTCAAAATTGGATAAATACAGAGACTATCTTGTAAGTTTGCACGACTCACCGCTGCAGGTTTCCCTTAGATATTTCTTGTTGTTGGGCAGTTCTGATTGCAGACGATGATTGGCCGTTTCGAGAGCCGTCAGAGATTGTCGACAGGAGTCACCGAATTTGCTGGCCACATATTTATCGGGCTCACAGATGGCTTCGTTCACATAGCCATCGGATATGGTCTGCGATGAGCCGGAGTTCAACGAGGACGAACAGTTGGTGTTGTGCACCAAGGGGCGGCTATCCTCGTTGCCACGTTGCAACAGGCCAATGCCCATGGTGAGGCGTTTCACCTGGAATGTGAAGAAGAAGAAGAGAATGGGTTATATATATATATATATATATATATATATATATATAGACAAATATCTGCAAATTTTGCATGGCTTGGATTCATGTTGGTTGCCAATTTGGCTAACAAAGTTTTTGACGCAATACAATAATTGCAATTTAGTTTTGGCCCTTAACAGTTGTGACGCCAGTTACATTGCTGTTGTTGTTGTTGTTGCTTATGTTGTTGTTGTTGTTTTGGCCACAAAGCCAGCTAACATCGAAAACACTTTAGTACAAAACACGAGCCACAACACAGAGTAGAGCTCCTGCTATCGATGTGTAACATTTCTGGTTGCCAATAAAATGTTAACTATGTTGTCTCAGTTATCACCTCTACTCCCCTTCTTCCCCTTCTCCACCAAACACACACAAAATTTGGTCATGGTTTTTTGGGAGGGGAATGGCTTGCGGTAAATTACTTTGAAATGAGTTAAAGCCAAAAGTTTTGCCTGCTTTTTGGGGCGGCACTTAAAGCGTTTCCAATTAGCAAACAGTTTTGCCCAAGTGTTGACTGCCTGTCTTCCCCTGGCCCCTCTCCATTATTGCCTCCCTGCCGCCTTCATAAGCTATTTGCCTAATTTGTTATAATTATGTTGATTTTATGTAGTAGCCAAGCAACGGAGTGATGCAGGAGCTATTCGCCTTTTGATGTGGCTGCCTTTCAATGGGCATCCATTGCCTATTGAGCTCTGAGCCAACAGGCATCTGAAGTCCAGTGCTATTTTATTTTCATAAATAGAATTATTGACGAGGAATATTTTATGTATTTTATAATAAGCTTTTAACTGGTGAATAGCACAATTTCTGGACCACAAATAGCAAACACTGATTATGCCAGCAGCTCATTAATTATGATTTATGCATTGAAAAGTTATGCAAATGCTTGTTTAACGAGATTTACTTTTAAGTCACACAAATCAATAGGAGTGTTAAGTATATATATATATATTATGACTATCACTTTGTGGGAACTGAACCAATTTAGCTGCATACTAAAATTTTATTCAAGACTTATGTTCATGTTTGATGTGAATTTAATAAGTTTTATTTTAAGATATTTATGCATTTATGATATGTATTGAGTTTAAAAGTTTAATCTAAAGAGAACGCTTTAATGGAGATAGATCGATTAGGATGGAGATAGATCATTATATCACTTAACTCATTTCTAATGGATTCAGGATACAATCATTTTTACAAGGCCTAGTTTCTATCACATAAGAGAGTTCTGTCTCTTCATTTACAGCATATGCTTAATACACGTAAAGATTGAAGGTGTTTTTCCTGCTAGGCTTTATTTAGCTCTTGCAGCTAATTGAATTGGTAGTCGGCACCCTTTCATCAAGCTTATTCTCCTTCAGGTTCTCTCCCCCTCTCTCTCACTCTCTCCCTCTCTTTCAATCTGTCTCTCGTTAAGTATGCAATCAGTGGCAGCAGCCATTCTGCCAACCTAATGCCCCCATTATGCTAATGACATTGGAAAAGACTCTCGCAAAGTATGCAGAAATCCAAAGCAAGACAATGCGCCCAAGTGGCACTCGGACTAGAAGACTGTGCTCGACAAATCCGGCCGAGTACAACTGCTGCAAGCGGCGTAAATATATGAAAAAGTGCAATGGAAGAGGGACAACGCAGAAGAAATAGCAGAACACGATAAGGATACGAGAAGGAGAGGAGAAGGACACGAGAACAGGTTAGGCGGGCACAATGGGAACAATGGGACAATTGGGCATGGGCGTGTCTAAGAGTTGAAAGCATTTGTAAAGTACTCCTTTTCTTATACCCTGTAGTCCTTCAGTAGGCAAAGAAGGCATATTCGCAAGGGATTCTTTAAGGAACAAAATATTTAGCTGTTTTTAAAAAATATTACTTATAGAATTATGAAAAAACATTATCCTCTTGGAAAGCACTTCATATAAATTATTCCATATTTTATATGGAGGAAAGTATGAGTTAATCCAAGTCATGTATAAGGATAAGGCATAATAGAACGTTGTAAATTGAGATAAGTTTCTTAACAAAATGAGATTCATATCCAAATAGACGCATTATTATCCTTGTAAGATCTTTGAATTATATTTAAATGTCCTTCTTGCATCTGTATATTTTTTGATAGGTAAAATTTTATATGCAGATTGTATACATCTATCTTCAAATATATATATGTATTACAAATCTGTAAAAATAGATAAATCAATTTGGATCATATTTTAGAATACTTTTACTTTGCATAGAAAAAAAGTTGAAATATAGAGGATATCTGTTAGTCAATCAGTCTTTACTTAAACACTACTTTGTGCTTTATTTGATTTGCTCTTTTTTGCTATCTCCACCTTTTTCCAGTGTCTGCCTCGTTGGCAGCAAAGTTTTATGCCCATCGACTGCATTTAGTTGTCGGCAGCTGCAATTGTCAGCTGAATAGGCCTATAGATGTATAAATGTCTATGTGTATGTATGTGTTGGTGTGTGTGTGTGTCGCTGTGTGTGTGTGTGTGTAGAGAACAGGACACGTGATGGCAGTCAGCATTGTTGCTGCGATTTATGTGTCATAAAGTCACTAAGTTAACGGCATTTGGCTGCCATTTGCCTGCTGCATGTCTGCTGTAAGCGTTCCATCTCCCCCACACACACTCTTTCTCTCTCTCTCGCTCTCGCTCTCCCTCTCTCTGTCTTTCTCTCTCTCTCTCTCTCTTTCTCTATCTACGGTTGCTGTTGCACTTCAGCTGTGTTGTTGTTGCATGTGCAATTGCTGGCAGCGCGTGCCAAAGTGCCGTTAGCTGGAAATTTGCATTTTTGCAAATTAATTTAATGAACGCTTTTGGGTCTTGTTTAGTGGCAAACTATTTTTTTCTTTTTTTTTTTTTGTGTTTCTTAGTGCTTCTGGCTAAATTGCATTTGATTTTCAAGTGACGGCAATTTGTTTGCCAGAAAGGCAACAAAAAAGTCTTTAAATATGCTTTGAAATGTTTAATTTCGATGCTGTTCTAATGTACAAACGGTTAAGAATGTCATTCAAAGAATAATGGAAGAGCGAGGAGAGAGAGAGAGAGAGAGATTGAATAGAGATATTTCAATTAAAATGACTTGTATGTCCATTTAAAATTAATTTATATTTAAAATTATATATATATTTAAAATTATTATATTAAACGGTTAAGAATGTGATCCAAAGACGAATTGAATAAGCAAAAAGAAAGAGAGACAGATAGATTTATTGAATAAGCAAAAAGAAAGAGAGACAGATAGATTTATTGAATAGAGACGAGGCAATCAACATGACTCATCCAAAAGTTGCCAAAATGCTTTAATGAGTAAATGCTTTTAAATAGAATTTCCACAGCAACGTTGCCAGAAAATCTGCAGAGCTCTCAACTTATTGGCAAGCTTGCCAATATAAATGAAATATTTTTTCAAAGTTTCTTTTACTTTAAGCAACTCCCAAGAATATGCAACACATTTTCTGCTCAACATTTTGCTCATTTTTAGAGCAGCTTGCAACTCAATTTGATAGATTTTTTGACTTGGCAATTGAATCGATTCCAGGTGGGCATCACCAACGAGCGCAGATTTATACACTGTAGCCCAGTCCAAGAAGTGGTCAATGAGGGAAACAATAACAATATCTTGAACAATGAGGCCAAAATGCATTTGGCCAAAGTAATGGGTAATAATAAATGAAGGCTGTGTCGGCTTTGGACTCACCAGCGGTGGCTTATCAACCAGACGACGACAATTATTCATTTCAGTTGGGGAATTGTCCTCCTCGGAGCTGGGAGAGCGTGGCAATTGCTGTTGTTCCTGCTCCTCGTTCCCATCGTGGCTGTGCTGGACGTGATGGCTGTGCACCAGCTGCAGCTGCTCCACCTGATGTCGGGGCGATGCTCGACGTTGAGCCGGATGCAAATGCGGATGCGAATGCGAATGCGGATGCGGATGATGATGATGATGGTAATAATTCTGTAGTTGCTGCTGCTGCTGTTGTGTGTTTGTTGTTCCTTGTTGTTGGTGTGGGCCAGCTGCTGCTGTTGTTGTTGGTGCGCTGTAGAGGGAAGGGGGAAGGATGTGGAGATTCCTTACTTATTATACTCTTGTGGAAGGTATTTTATTACTATGGTAACTTTCATTATTAATTTTAACTGGCTTAAAACAAATAATCTTGTATGAACAACTAATTAGTTTTCAAGATCTTAAACACTATTTCAAAAGATAATATATCAGATAGAATAATAAGCTCACAAGACATGAGCTTCAATATTGAAAAGCAAGTGTGAACTTAACTATGATTAAAATAAATAGTTATTCATTTAGCATTATTCACTAAATAAGATGACGAGTTCTTGAAATCTTTGGTTCCGAAACTATATGTGTGCTTAAAGGGTATTCTATTTCCGGCGATCAATAAATATTTTTACTTTGGGTTCAGGTGCGGCTTACCTGAAGCTTAGCTCGGGCAGCAGTTGTGCAAAGGACCGGCTCCTGGGCGAGTCCTTCAGCGAGCCAGTCGTATCGCCAGTTTCAATGAGCGTTGTCTCCGCGGTCTCCGAAGTCGATGAGATGAGAGTTGTTGTTGTTGTTTTTGTTGCTGTTGCTATTACTGGTGGCAAGTTGGAGAACGCTGCTGTATTGTGTTGCGGCTCGAGACGTAGTCGTATATCCTGCATGGCCATGAGTCCTTGTCACCTACTTACATCTGCATCTGCGAAGAGAGACGAGAGAAGTTTCGGAGCTTGTTAAAAAGTTGTTGCCAGCGCAAAATCCTTTCAACAGCTCTTAGTCGGTAACTTTTTACCGCACTGGTCACTTTAAGTTTATGCTAATGCTCATGATTTCTTGCCTTACTTTAGACCATATATATATACATTTGGCCGAGACATATTTCGCCCTTTTGCGGTCTACTTGCTTGCAAAACTTTTGCTTTAAGAGCTCTCTCTATCTTTCTATCTCCTTCTCCCTCTCTCATGTAGTTGGCTTAAAGACCGCCGACGGCTGCCAACTTTTCCCACAAGTTGTAGCTTATTGAATTTCGACACACACACACACACACACACACATGTGTGTGTATGTTTTTCGAGCACAGTTTTTGAAAAGTTTTAATGCAATTTTAAGCCGTGCCTATTAGTTGCAAATCGTTTCCAGATTTTCACCATATTAATTTTAAAGCTTTTTGGCTCTTACGCTTTTTCTTTTGTTGTTTCCTTGGCTGGCACTAGAACGTTTTTTAATTGCCATGAAAGCTGTTGCAAATTGGGTTAAGGTTGTGGCACAGACTGCCAAATTGTTAGACACAAGCGACTGCACTGACTTACTGACTGTCGTCTACCTTTATGTGGTTTCTCGTTGTCGTCCTTTGTGGCATTCACCGACTTGCAACAGCTGGCTGTTGCAATAAAACACAAAGCGCTGTCAGTTGTGTGATAACAAAGAAATTGCAATATTCTAAGAGAAAACTGCTAAGGCCCTTGAGGTCACAGATTTAAAGGAATCCACGACTGCAAAATACCCAGTTTTTCCAATTTAATGGGAAAATATGGGTTAGCAGTACAACTAATTTTGGTTGCGGCAAGACTGTAGACAACTCGATTCTCTATTTGTCTTTCTACAGGGTATACGTGCAATCAGCCCAAAGCCACAGCCCATAAAAGTGAATGCGAGTCTGCTAGAAAAACTGCAGTTGTGGTTGGAATTTAAGAATTTCTAAGGCAAGTTAAGTTGAAGCTATGCAAATTAAGCAATTGCAGTTGCTGTTGCTGCTGTGCATGTTGCTGCTGTTGCTGCTGCTGCTGGTGCTGTTGGTGATGATGTTGCTTTTGTGCACTTAACAAGTATACGCCATGTTGGCTGTGCATTAATTTAACAAACGACGACGGCGACGACGACAATGAGACACAAATGTGCTGACATTTGGCACTTCATGTAAAAGTTGCCTTTGCATAAGCTGCAAAATGTCAGCCAGTCACAACGGAAGTGATAACAACAACAACAACAGCAACAACAACAACATCTGACTTTTCAAGCAATATAATTCTCTTGCATTTCCCCAACAACTCAGCCACGCCCAACATGTTAATTTAACTTGTCATACACGAATGCATTAAAACAACAACAACAACAACAAAAACAACATTTTTGAAGCGTGACAAATTTCATAGCATGCTTTTGTGCGTCTTTTGTGCTGTGAAAACTTTGTGTATGGCAAAATATTTCGCACAGATTTCTGCTCCGTTTGTTCCTTGCCAGAAATCAACTTAAAGTTTAGTACGATCAATTTTTTCGGTTCAAAAAAAAAAAAACTTCTTTTTATTGCACTTCTTGTTCTGGCCATTGTTGGCCAGCAAACTTTTTAGCACTGCGTGGCAAATGGCAGTGCCTAAAACAGACGTGCCACAACAACAACTACAACGGAAAATAAAATAAGAACAAGCAAAGCAACTTTGCGAATTGCAATTGCAATACAAAATAATACAAATATTGGAAACAAGATAAAAACAAATTGTTTTGATGTGTTTGCTTTGTTATCGTTTGGCTTTTCTTTTGTGGCAACTGCAATTTGTTAGTGTATCTCAAATTTGGAGTGAAAAAACAATGCAAAAGTGTTGTTCTATTGCTTCTAAGCGTAGATTTTAGTTTCAGTTGTGGTGTTAAATATTATAGTCTTACTGCTTGTTGTTTTTATATATAATTAATAAGCTAACATTTACCTTAAGCTTGGCAGCTTTATACTTTAAGCTTATCAGCTTGTCGATAATATCAAAAGTCCAATTTAACTATTAAATTTGTTTTATAACTGTTTCTTTTTAGCATAAAACTTTTTACTACAAGTTTATGTTTTTAAACTAGTTTTAAAGCTTATCTTCGTTTCCCAAATTGCTATATATACTCGTATACCACACGCAGATCAACTCTATTTAATGTTATCGATAAAATTTGTTGTTGTTTTTGCTTCTCCGTTCTGAATTGTACTTCCCCCTTTTGCTTATTGTTACCGCTCGTGTTGTGCTTAGTATCTTATCTCGTACAATTGAAATTTACCTTTATATGCTGTCTGTTTCAGCTACTTCACTTCCATCCCTGTCTGAGGACAACTTCCCAGACGGTGAACATATGACTGGCTCTCAACAGCAAGTGTTCAGCTAGTATCGTTATATATGCTCACTATAAGTTCTTATAAAGCCCCCCACACACACACACACACGCACACACACGCACACACACAAATACGCAGAAACACATTTGCTTGTTAGTATATTGAAATTGATATTATGTCAGAGTTTGCCGTCAAGTTAACTCTATAACGACAGTCTTGGCAGTCTTGTCTGTCTGTCTATCTGTCTGTCTGTCTGTCTGTCCGTCTGTCTGCCTGTCTGTCTACCTGCCTGACTGTCTGTCTGGCCATGTTTGTGCTTTGTGGCTGCTTTTATATCTATTTCCATAGAGATTTTCTTATGAAATTCATTGTTAAATCGCTTGGAAATGTATTTTTGGATTGACTCTGTGGAAGACGTTGCCTTTAGTTGCTTTGATTGCCATGTGAAAGTGTTTCATGGTACTGCTTTGATTTTTCTTTCTTTTTCTGTTCGCTTAAGTTCATATTTTCTTTGACTTTTATGTGCACTTACTGAGTGAAATTCAATCGTCAATTGGCCACCAGCTGCTCAATCAGCAGTGCAGTTGCATGCAACGTTGCAACAGGCACAAAATGTCAACAGTCTTTGAACTTTTGTTTGGGGTTCGAACTTGGCCACCCGGGTGGCCAAGCACTCACACTGGGCTTGTAATAAAATACGGAGACCATCAAGCTAACAACTGTGCCGAGTGATAACTAACGGTTCCCATTGGCAAGCGACCAGTCGGTTTCGGGATTTGTCGGTTGTTACGTGACAATCCGCCAGCCCCAGTTTCATGTGTGCCGACATGTGGCATGCAGCAAGTCAGTCTGTATACATACATATATATATACGTATGTATGTGGTAAGCTATAAGTAGGCGCGCCCTGGCCACCAACAGCAACAACAACAACCACAACAATAACAACAACAATGGCATCAACAACAACAAGAAGAAAAGTCACAATGAGACTTAAAATGTGAACCGCATTTGGCTTGACATCAGGCAAAGACGACAACGCTGAGAATAAACAGACCAAGACATGACCAACAATGAGACAACGACAACAACAGCAACAACAAAAACCACAACAACACCGACTACTCCAGAGTCAGGCTTAGACTTTTTCTGTGCTTGACTTCGATTTGAACTTAATTTATGAATGTCGATAGCTTTCGACGTGGCTACTTGAATCTTTGAAATGTATCTATGGCTTGGTAAAAATTATTGCATTGATGAGTAATCTGAACGGTCTAAATGGCCTAAATGACTTAAAACTGGTCAAGAACGGCTTGGAATTCCAACGAATATCACAACAAATAGTTATAAGTTATATTTCTTATGCATTTTAAGAAATATAGTTTACATTTCCATTAATTAGATTATTATATTACAAAAAAAACTCATGCTCAACTTAAAAAATATTTCACATTGCATGATTATCAATTATTAAGCAGTGCAAAGTATGACATTAATATTATTGCCAATCAATGCTTAAATATTTTTTAAAAAATTCTACAAATTCTATAAATATCATTTAACACTTGACATTTTTTCTTGGCAACATCTGAAGACGGAAAATACAATAAATTATAAGAAGCACATTCAGTCACATTGTCGTGTGTCTCTTTGAAATTTATGTAGCCTTCACGCAAGCAGAAGCGAATGCAATTCAATTATGAATTATGCCAACAATTTACTTTGACTTGTTTGCTGTGGGTCTCGGTGTAGTTGCTGATGTTGCTGTTGCTCCTTCTACTCCTGCCTCATGCCTCATGACATCTGCCTCTTGTCTAGTGCCTCCTGTCTTGGCTTCAGCTCCTGCTGTTGATGTCACTAATTAAATGCAATGCTCTTCGCTCGATTTGTTGTGCTAATGCTGCGTAATTACGGAATGTGGCGACAAAGACAACAATTGCAACAACAACAACAACAATGGTTACAACAATGAGTGCGGCGACATTCCAAGACGTTACTCATACGTCGCGTGTGTCAATAGAACAGCGAGAAATGCTTTTGAAACCGCAGCCTCTGCTGCTTTGTGGATGAGCGAGGACTACACTCAGGCAAAAATGTGATATAGAATTTAGATTTTCCCAGAAGGCCTAAACTAGCCAACTAACGAATAGGTTGATAAGAATAATCAAAAATAGTTTATTTATTTCTGCTCTTTGGGTAAGCTGATAATAAAATTTAAATAATAATTCTGGGGATTTAAAGAAGGACTAAAGAATTAGAGAATTACTTGCAAACAATTAATGCCATTCCACTTTATTGGTTTTTTGCTCAGTGTATCACCATTAAGAGGCGCTGAAGGTGAGTGCAAGGGCGAGGGCCTACATTGTGAGGCGGCTGCTTGGCGTCGTGTCCGCATTTGGCATGCCACAAAAACCGAAACAAAAAACAGAAACAGCCACAATCGCGTCTTTGTTTTGCCAACTCCTTGTTGCAGCAGTTATTGTTGCTGCTGCTGCTATTGTTGTTGTTGTTGTTGTTGCAGCAATTGTACATTGACACCTCATGGTTGCTGCTATGGAGCGCTTTTTTTTTAGCTGTTGTTGTTCCCGTGTACATGAAATTTATGTCGCCTAA